CATAGGTGCTTTTGAAGGTTTATACTTTCCGACAGAAATGCATACGCATGGGGAATTCCCCATACATCCCTGTGGTGTACTCTGCCTCCCAGAAGCCCATTCACCAGTTTCCGAAGGGACCTGGGGAAGGCATACTCAGAACAGTGAGACTGCAGGCTCCCTTGGAACAGATGGCTGGTATACAAGAAGATTCTGTGGACGGAAACCCCAAATAAGCCCTCTGGCTTCACCCACTCTTGGTTATTTCTTTGGCTGCCAGGCTTAGAAGCTGTATTGCCAAGCGACACGTTACTACTAGCTTTGTATTGGTCATACTCTGAATTTGGGTCACAGTGCTAAAACTGTGACTCAAATATTTTTCAGAAACTTGGAAGTTAGCTCACACCAATAGAAACTATCAACTCTTTCCCTGATCCCACACAGATGTTCAGTGGGTGACTTTTGACTTCAGCATGTCGGAACTATACCTCTATTAGAGCTTGCCAAAGCAAGTTTCCCTGTCTTGTGAAGTATCATGGGATGTGATTAAGCATGCGTACACCACTAGTCTCTACCCTTTTCCTTGGATCTCCTATGTGCTCTTTGGAGCACCCTGCTTCTTTATCCCATAAAGACTTCTCAAATGCCCTCGAGAAGGCTAGCTCTCTCATCTCCACTCAGTTGGCTGCCTCGTGAAGGAACTCTTTCTCTTACAAAATCAATGACTTCAATGACTGGTGTTCTGTGAGTCAGGCAACAAGTCTGGTTCAGTAACCGTTGCGGGGCAAGGTAGAGAAGTTTGGATGCTAGGATGAGGGACTATGGCTGTTTTTTTCTTTTTTAAAGCAGGGATGGGGCCTGCTAAATATTTTGGAAAGAATGCCCACTGAAGACCCAAGAAGGGATCCTAGATCTGGGGCATGCCACCCTTCTACCTTTACTATCTTGTCTGTACAATGGGGATAACAAGACCTTGCTTTCCTAGTTCAAAGGGATGTTCTCAGGTCAGCATATGTACAAATTAGGATAGGAAAGTGTCGTCGTTTGAATGTAATTGGTCCCCATAAGCTCATAGGGAGTGACACTATTAGCTGTGGCTCTGTTGGAGTGGGTATGGCTTTGTTGGAGGAAGTGTGTCACTGTGGGGGTGGGCTTTGAAGTTTCCTATGCTCAAGATATTGCCCAGTGTCACAGATCACTTCCTGTTGCCTTCTAATTACAATGTAACCAGCATCATGTCTGCCTGCACACCACCATGCTCCTGCCATGATGATAGTGGACTGAACCTCTGAACCTGTAAGCAAGCCACCCCAATTAAATGTTTCCCTTATAAGAGTTGCTTTGCTCGTGTCTCTCCATAGCAATAGAAGCTCTGATTAAGTAAGTAAAGGTATTTGGGGATGGAACCTTCCAGGATACTAAAGGATAAATTGGTGATTTAAGGAAATTAATTAGCTTGAGACTTGATGGGTGCATCCATCCATAGCCCTCAACTATGAGGAAGGGATCTTTTAATGTGATTTGCCATTATTACTCAAGGCAAGAGAATGGGAAAATCTGTAGACAGGTAACAAAGACAATCAGGTGGCGAGAACACATTGTTTCCGAAGCAGAGAGTAATAGTCCAGACAGATCATTGCCTTTGAATGTGAGTGGAAAGGCCCTGGCTGAGGTCGAGAAGATATCAATCCCACATGCCCCTGAATTCCATAGGTCTTTCTTCCAAAACCAGATGGTGAATGAATTAGATTCTCAGTGAATTATAGAATATTAAATTTTATGACCAAGTCAAATTGATGTCTTATGCCTGGGGTGAGTCTATTGGGAGCAGCTTAGATGATCTTTATATGGACTCATGGAAAGGGTTTTGGCAAATGATCTCAGGCAGAGACACCAGCCAGGAACAGCATTTGTCATACCAGATGGAAGGACTGACCCTTTGAATGGGAAAATACACCTGTCTTTTTCTGAAAACTGGACATTTGTTATGTCATATGTCAATGAATGAATCTCTCCTGTTTAGTGTGTATGAGCTTCTGGGATACTTCAGTTTGGTGCTGTTGCTTGTGAGGTAATCTCAGAGACACTTAAAAAGACATGTTGGGACCTCCAAAGGTCAGTTTTTTTTAAGAAGACAGAATAAACTGACCTATCTTCTCCCTGGGAGAAAGGAAATATTTTTAGAGATTGAAAATCTACTACACACAAGAACCAAGTGAGCTTGTCACTGTAGTGTAGTGAGAGTGCCCATTGTTTGGGGACACAGAGGGACCTTGACATCTTGAAACCAAATTATAAACTACCTAAAAAGTTAATTGGCTTTGATGAGTGCTCCTCCCCCAAACTCCTGTAGCTAATCCAAACTCATTATTTAAGATTCAGCCAAAACATTGCCTCCTATAAGAGGACCCCTGAAACCTGTAAGTAGCAACTGTACTCCTGGACATTCTGTCACATGGCCCTGATACGTACTTACTCATTTCTCTCTGTGTGCACAGCACATGCATGTCTGGAGAAGAGAAGGCAACTTTGGATGTTGCTCCTCAGGTGTTGTCCACTTTTTTTAAGAGACAGAGTCTCTAGAGGACTAGAACTCACCAAGTAGGCTAGGCTGACTGGCTACTGAGCCTCAGGGATCTGCCTGTTCACCTATTTCTGCCTCTCAGTGCTGAGATTCCCCATGCACAGCACCACACAGACTGTTTTTGTTTTAACATGAGTTCTGGGGGTTGAACTCTGGTCCTTGTGCTCACATGGAAAGCACTTTACCATCTTCACTATCTCTCTACCCACTTAGCTCTCCAAGAAAAGACGTTCTGTTCTCACAACATGAAGAAAAACTAAGCATAGACCTGCTGGCTGATGGCAGCAGGTTTCACTGGCTGGGAGAGTCCCCAAGAAGCAGAGAGAGCTCTTTGAAGTCTTGTTCTTGAGAAAACAACCTATAAATTTGATGATACATCATGAGCACAGCAATGAACTGTACCATGCTTGGTGTTAATATTGAATGTGGAAGTGCAGAAGTTAATCAAAGTAAAAACCTGGGAAGAAAGTATTGTATATAAGTCTTTGATAGATTGGAGGAGCATCAAATTTATTTAAAATGAGGATTTCCACCAGACCATTCTGAGGTTCGGGACCTGAATGAACACTTGTGGTAGGGTACTTGAGAATGTCACTATATTGAGAGGATTCTGAAGACCTGGAAGAGGGCATGTCATTAGGTAGACAAGACCAAGACTCATTACTGATGTTTGCTCTGCCTGTTCTCAGTTATGTAATCTTAAACCATTGCATCATACATTCTTGAGATGCTGTGATAAAAATGGCTGGTTCTTCCCCGATCATGTTCTTTTCCCTCAAAACCACAGGAGAAGCTGGGAGCAGTCACTGGCCTGATTCTGGCCAAAGGTATGTTACAGAAGGTCTATCCTACACAGTCTCACCTCCACTCATCTGTCCTCTCTCTCTTTTTTTCTGCCTCTGGAGGGAAGAGGCTCTGAGGACCTCGAGGAAGGTGGAGCCACAGATGGAAGGGGTCTGGGTCCTGAAATGGCATGTAAAAGGCAGCCATACCAAAAACAGTCTGTGGGTGTGAATAGGGAATTCACTTTCATTGCGATGAACCATTAATCTGTAATTGAAAATAAATTAACATGGCTAATATGGATTTATTTTCTTTATATGATGAAGACTAATAAGGACACTTGCTGCAGCTACTGCAAGAATCAGAAGAAATGCTCATTTGTACAGGAAATCACCTGAGAAGCAGCATCTGTCCTCCTCCTCTTCATCTTGGATTCAGCATGCTGGTTGCAGATTCACTGACACTCAACTATCCACCCATCCACACACGGTGAATATCTTGGGTTCACTACATTTCTTTTATTTCATTAGCTGGACTTTCTTCCTCAAATGTTTCATTTTTATGATAAAAAAGTATTTCTTATTGCCTTTTTGCTTGCTTGAAACACGGTTCTACTGAGTAGCCCAGGGAAAACTCACCATCTTCCTTTCTTCTGCCTCCTGAGTGCTTGTTCCACTAAGTCTGCATACATACTGTTAGTTTTTGAATGCAGTTCATCCCATCCTCAAATCTTGTTGCAATTTGACTCCTAGTATAGCAGTAGTATTGACATAGGTACAAGTGATTGGGTCATGAAGGCTCTGTCTAATAAAAGAATCCATCTATTCATACATTAATAAAGCAATGGACTAACTAGTTATAGAGGGGCTTTGTTGGAAAAACCAGCTCTCTTCAATATTTTTGCTTGGTCTCAACATTTGATGTCCTTGTCATGTGATGATGTAGGAATAAGGATGCAGCTTTTAGTCTTCCCAGCATCCATGAATGTGAGCTAAACAAACCTCTGTTCTTTATACTCTTCAGTTGGATTTAGTTTTCACTTATACTCAGTATTCAGGTATTCAGTTCTAGCAATAGAAAATGGATAGAGACACTTCTCTATTAAGGAAAACATCTTAAAACCTGCTGAATGGAAATATCTACTCACTGAAGACCATTATTACTAACATCTTGGTATCTTTCTCCCCACATTTGTTTAGGTATATATGATTTTATCATCGTTGAGAACATAACACACATGCAACTTGGAAGCTTGTGTTGTACATTTTGCTTACATTCATCATACACTTACCATCAAAAGTTCCCTGGAGCTACAGTTTTCAGGAGTTCTATACTATGTCATTGTAAGGATTTTCCATAATTTTTCTTAGGCTGTTTACAGTTTTTCTGTATTGTAAAAAATATGGCAGTGCACATATTTGCAAGCTTTGGATTGGTTCTTTTGCAATCTGAATTCTTTGTGCTATTCTGATTCTGAACCTGATGATAGGGAGCAGCTCATTTTGCATTCCTCGGATACAGTCTGGTTCTTGGAATGGGTCCTAATTAAGTTTTTATTGCTGTGATAAAAACACTGACCAACTTGGGGAGGAAAGGATTTATTTGGCTTATATAGCCCAGGCCATAGAACACTGAAGGAAGCCAAGGCAGGGATTCAAGGCAGGAACCTGAAAGCAGGAACAGAAGCAGAAGCCATGGAAGAATGCTGCTTAGTGATTTGTTCTCCACTCTTTGCTCAGCCTGCTTTCTTAGAGTACATGGGATCATTTGCCCACGGGTAGCACTGTCTACAGTGAGATGGATCCTCCCACATCAATCATTAACTAAGAACCCCTTCCCCAAGACACTTGCCTATAGACCAATCTGATGGAGGAAATTCCTCAATTAAGATTTTTTTTTTCCTAGATATGTCTAGTTTTGTGTCAAGTTGAAAAAAACAAACAAACAAACAACCAGAACACACTGTAACAGCATTGAGATCCAAGGACTCCTGGTAAGAATAGATGAGATATTTGGAGGCCAGAGTGAAGCCTTTTTTCACACTCGATTGCTGGGTGAAGGTGCTAACTGAGCATGATGGATGTGATATTTAATTACAGGTGTCAGCTTGAAAAACTAAGGGATATATTAATGCTTGGAAAGTATTATTTCTGGGCATGCTTATGAGTGTTTTTCATTCATAGACATGAAACATTGCCATTTTAATCTAGGTACCAAGCTAGGAGCAGCCACCTTTATCCAATTCAATGGACTCCATCTAATCCATGCAAGATCTGGAAAGAATGAAATAGTGGATAAAAGGTTATGTCTCTCCCTCACTCCCTCCTTCATCTTCTCCCCATCCCTCCTACCCTCTTTTCCTCTCTTCCTCCTCTTCTTTCTCTTGCCACAACCTTCTTTTGCCCTTGGGCATCAGTGGTTGAGGCCCTTCTGGCCTTCAGATCTGGGACTTATACAACAAGCCCTACAGATCTTAGGCATTTCAACATGGATTGGACCATCCTACCAACTTCCCTTATTCAAAAGCATGCAGATGGATTATCCTGAGATGTCTCAGTCTCCATAGTCATACAAGATAACTCCCCTAATAAGTTTCCTGATCTATCTATGTTTCTATCATCTCTTTCTATATCTATCAATCATCTATTATCTATCTTCCTATCAACTATCAATCATCTATCCACCTACCTATTGACTATCTATCTATCTATCTATCTATCTATCTATCTATCTATCTATCTATCATCTATCTCTCTATCTATCTATCTATCTATCTATCTATCTATCTATCTATCTATCTATCAACCATCCATTATCTATAATCTATCTACCCATCCTATCATTTATCTAGATAAGTAATTCTGTCTTCCTGGAGAATTTTTACTAATAAATAGGGCAGTGTAAGTGTCCTCTCCAATTCTTTGTGAGATGCATGCCATTTTTTTTTTTTTTTTTTTTTGTCTTGGAAGAGTCAGAGGTCATGGGTCATGAGAGGATGGTTGCACTATTTGGCCAGACAACATATCTCTTGAAATTATCTTTTCTGTTTTCAACAAACTCTGAGCATTTTAATTGAGACATAATTAACATAACATGCAATTAACACTTTTAAAGTATCCAGTTCAATGAATTTTCATATAAATGCAAACTGTCCAAATATCTCTACTACTTGCAGAATGTTTTCATCAGCTCCCAAAGGGAATTCCAAGCCCATTAGCAATAACTCTCCACACTTTCCCTCCCTCCACCTCTGACAACCACCGATTTGCCTTCTGTCTCTATGAATTGACCTATCCACACTTCGTTGAAATGAATCTACAATGCACGACTTTCTGGGTTTGATTTTCTTCCTTTTCTTTTTGAGAAAGCATCTCATGTAGTCTATGCTGGCCTTGAACTTAGTAGGTAACTGAGGCTGACCTTGAACTCTGGTACCTGTGGAGGTCAGATAAAGTCATTGAATACTCTCAAACTGGAGTTACAGATGATTGTGAGCCACCATGTGGATGGTGGGAACCAAACCCAGGTCCTCTCAAAGGGCAGCAAGTGTTTTTAACTCCTGAGCCACCTCTCCAGCCCTCTGTATTTCTTTACTAGATCTTAGCCATTCTATTTTAGTAAAGTTGAAGGGCAGACATGAGCTTCACTGAAAGGCATGCAGGCCAGCATGGGAAGCAAACATTCAAGCAATTGTCCCTTAGGTTACAGAGTACTGCTGGGCCTGTGACAAGAATGGATGATTCTGGCCCTCTGACTGCTCTGTGCTTGTGGGAGATTAGGAGAAGTTTGTTTCAAATCCCAGCTGCTCTCTATTCTGTCGAGGTGTGTCTTAGTCTATTTCCTGCTTGGGCTCTTTATGAGGAAAAGAGGTGCATTTAACTCAGAGATTCAGAGTCTGTATTAGTTTCTTTTTTTGTTGCTGTGATAAGACATCCTGATGAAAGCAGCCTAGGGCAGACAGGGGTTTTACTAAGACTTACAGTTCCAGAGGGTCTACAGTCCACCCTGGTGGCAGCGGCACGAGGTTCACTTATCACACTGCATCAGCAGTCTGGAAGAGAGAAGTGAAAAGGAAGTGTGGCCAGGCTATGAGACCGCAAAGCCTGACCCCAGGGACCCACTTCCTGCAGCAAGGCTGCATCTCTCAAAGGTTCTACCACCTTCTCAATCAGCACTGCCATCTGGGGACCAAGTGTTTAAACACATGGGCTTATGGGGGACGATTCACATTCAGACCTCTACAGAGTCCAGGCAGCATGGCTATGGTTGACTCTGGTGAGGTCCTGCTTCGCTGCAACATGGTGATGGCATCATGGGGAAAGATGCAAAAAAGAAACATTACATGTACGACAGAGAGCCAGAAGGATTTAGGGAGCAGCCTTTTATAATAACAAAGTGTTGTGAAGCTAACTCCTGGGGTCCGACGAGAAGGAGAGAAGGACATTAATCTCCTTCAAGGACAGCAACCACAGTGAGGCAGTGATCTTCCACGAGGACACCACCTGTCACATCGTCACTCTGGAGACTGACTTGCCAATGCATGAGCCCTTGGGGGAATGAGGCACATCCAAGTCATAGCAGTGTTTATTTTTAAAAGGTACTTAATTTCTCATGGTATGTTTCCTGCCTTCATAATAGAGGCATGATCTAGGTAGTCTATGACCTCATGGGCCTGTGTGTGCAATATAAATCTCACATTTTTTAAGTGAAATTATAATTGCCAGGCCACCTCTCTCAATCTGGCTGACAGAACTCTCATTCTTATGAGCCCCCACCCTAGCTGAAGAGCTGTTGACAGTTGATGACTTCTAGGGGGAGGGAGAGTCAGTTTCATAACGACTGTAGACCTTGGTAGACCCACCAGGCTCCAGTAAATAGCCCCAAATCCATGAGTATATGGGCAGCACAGATGAGAATCAGTGGGCTAGGTAAAAGGAGGACATAAAATTGGGATGGGGTGAAGGGTGGGGAAGGTATCTTGTAGAGTTAGGGGGTGAAGGGATGGTTACAAATCAAAATATTTTATATGCATGTCTGAGATCCTCAAGATTTAATGATATTTATACACACATACAACTCAACATGATCATCCTTCTCAGTGTCCCCTGCTGGTCTCTGTAAGTCCTTCAGAGCAGGCCTCGTGGGCACTGTCAGTACGTCAGCTGCAGTCACCTGCAGTAGCACACTGTTCCGCATAACCCCTTTCGTACCTGCTCCCACCACGTACCTCATTTCTGAGGTTCTTGTCACCGCTTTTCCAAATTCCAGCAAAAAGCTGCTCTTTCAAGATCCATTCAAAACTCCCTGCTATGGCCAGAGTGGGAGGCACAGCCTTGCTGGAGGAAGTGGATCATGGGGGGGCGGGCTTTGAGGTCCTAGAGCCTGCCCCACTTCCTGTTCACCCTCTCTTCCAGACTGCTGATGCAGTGTGGAGAGGAATGTGTCAGTGCAGCCAAGGCCAACGTCCCCTGCTTTTCCAGTGAAACAGGCAGCCCTGGGCAGCCCTGGGCCCCAGCTCTCCTGCAAAGTTCCGTAAGCCTCAGGGCTTCCTGGCCTTCCCTGCCTTCCCCATACTCCAGCCAGACAGAAGTGCTTAGTAATTTCCCCACTTTCTCCTGGCTTCTCACTGTCCTGGCTTCTCCAGACCGATTTCCTTCCTCTGCCCTGCAAAAGAAGCCTTCACAGAGAGAAAAGAGGTATCTCACCATCATTAGGTGGTACTTGCCCTGGGAACAAGGATGTTCTGTGACAATTGAAAACAGTATCACTTGAGCAGAGCATGGTGGCACACGCCTTTAATCCCAGCACTCATGAGGCAGAGGCAGGCATCTCTGGGTTCAAGGCCAGTCTGGTCTACAGAGTGAGTTCCAAGGCAGTCAGGGCTACAAAGAAAAAAACCAAGGAGGAGGAGGAGGGAGAAGAGGAGGAGGAAAACAAAATGGTACCACCACAAGGTGATGTGGGATGGATGGGAATGGTGTCAAGTTCTTGGCACACAAAAAAGACACCCCCTCCCCCCCGTACTGTAAAAACATCAAAGGTGACATTTCTACTGCAATGTATATTCATTTTCCAGCCCAGAGGAACTGGGGCCTGTATGTGACCCACAAAAGACCACCGCCACCCATTTTTCTGGATTTATGCAGCTCTGTTTGCCACCTAGACATGGCAGAAGCTTGGAATTTGAATTCCTGTCCCCTCAGCTCACTGGACCGGGCACTGTGGAAGAGGGACCCTCTCTCTGTTTGTGGGTTTGGCCTGGTTGTGGCCACAATGTCCAGACCTGGGAGTTTAACTGTCTCCTCCCCACTGCCCACAGGCCAAGGCTTTTGGAAACAGTCACCCCTATTGGCTTCCACCGAAGACAGAAGCTTGGATCCTCCCCCCAGGCAAGGTCTTTTCCATGGAGAGTCCTCCATAGAATCCCTGGGATTAGGATGCCAAACCTCTCTCCAGCACTTCCAGGCCCTTGCCACGTGAGCGCTACTTTTGCCTCCTGCTTCTCACTGGTTTTGACAGCAGGCCAGGGCTGGCACTCATTCTGGCTGTGTTGTTCCCTCAGCAACTGCTCCACGGTGGCAACCGGCCCCTCCCTCCCCCACTCCACAGCTGGTGAGCCTGAGGTACAACCTCCTGGGCTGAAGGCAGACTCAGAAATGGTGAATCAAATTACAGAAGTGGGTCAGCCAGGTGGTTGGTGAGGTGTGTTCTGTGAGGAAGCGGTGGTCAGGAGCCTGGCCAGGACTTCTCAGTTCCTCTTTCGGTTCCAGGGCAGTAGCAGCTGCTGTGTGTTCCCAGATATGTGCTTGATGATTCCAGATGCCGGAATAAAGAAACAGAGGAAGGGTTCTGTGAGTCAGATCTGGAGAAGAGTAACAGCCTCCCCATCAGCGCGCGCGCGCGCACACACACACACACACACACACACACACACACACACACACAAGAATGAGTCCCCAAACTCAGGGAGCTCACAGTCACATTTGGGAGGCAGTAACATACCACATAATGGCACACGTGAGTGGCATTGCTGCAGGAAGATTGTGAGTCACTCTGGGAGTGGGTAAAGACTTCAGCAAGGAGGAGGTGGGTGCAATTTTACCTGGTGAGCAAGATCAGGGAACATTTTTGTTAGAGGAAATGGGTACAAAGGGCTTTGGTATCACCCACAATCTGCTTCAACACCCTTCAGGGCCATACTCAATTAGCATCCTGGAGTAAAAATAACACATTTTGGCAGAGAAACTCCCAGAGGCCAGACAGCATTCCAGGAGCCAGGGAAGGCATGTGGGCGAGTGCAGATGAAGCCTCCAATCAGGCCAGTCAGTTTGCAGAGCTCATCTCCTCCCAGCTCCCCTCCTCCATCTATTCCATCTTTGCTAGCCCACTCCAATCCAGCTCCTCTGTGTTCTTGTCTGACACAGACTTTTCCGGTGTCCTTCCTCTTTCATGTTCTCCTCTCCCAGAGAACAAAGTCTGGCCTGGTTTGCAGAGTCCCTGAGCTTCAGCCTCTGGAAAGATGGGCATCTCCTAAGTTATCTGACAGCATGTCCCTACCTTCTCTCACTTCTTTCTACCTTTCATCACAATTCTCTCATCAGACCCCTTTTACCCTAAAGCATCTCAATAGTAATGAATTCTATTGGGTTTTCTTTCTTTTATTCCTAAGTGTATTTACAATAACTAATATATTTGTGCACAAAGTACTATTAATGTCCCTTTACACCCTAAACTGATTAGTGCTGCAAAGGTGATTGTTTTATGGCTTATTATTACTCTATTTCCATACAGGTCTACTCTGGATAGCCACTGTTACTGTAGACGGTATTCAACTTGCAGAGAACTAGGGGGAAGCTGGTGCCCTGAACACCAGTCTAACAGAAAAATGACACCTCAATACCACTACAATCTACTCCCCCTTAATTACTTCAAACACAAGAAGAAAAATGAACCAAGTTAATATAAAATTCAACTCACATTCTAACTCTCTATGCACAAACCCGACATGAAAACACATGAAAAACTTAGACAACAGATCTTTCAAAATCTACCAATCCTTAAGTACTGACTCCTAATGAGAGTAACTTAGAGGAAATAAAAAAATGATAAATTTATTCAAGGAAGTGAAAAGAGGTGACAATACTTGCCTTAGAATTCCACAACACACACAGAAATACTAAGAAGATGAGGCAGACAATATAGGATATGAAAATGAAATTCAACAAAGCAGGAAATACTGAAAAAACTATCTGAGCTGATGTTAGAAATGAAAAAATGCAGCAAGTCAAATAAAAAATCATAAGCTCATGGGAGGACAGGCTATAAATGAAGACAACAAAAGAGATTTAATTGTAGGAAGTGAGGAGTTGACTGTTTGAAAAGACAAACAATATCAACAAACCCTTCCTAGTGAATTTAAAGAAAGAGAAGACCCAAATTTCAAAATTAGAGATGAAAAGGAAGACATTACAATAGATAACAATGTGATTTAGAAATTAAGACTTACCTTGAAAACCTATATTCTACTAAATTTCAATATTAACAAAACAGACAAATTTCTAGATACAAACAACTTACAAAAGTTAAATCAAAATGAGAAAAATAAGCAGATAACAAGTAGCAAGACTGAAACAGTCAATGAAAAATCTGTTATGTGAAAGAGCCAGCTTAGATGGATTCACTACAGAATCCTATCAGTCTTTTGAAGGAGAACTAACACCAATATTCACCAAATTATCTCCTAAGACAAAAAAGGAAGCCACACTTGGAAACTCATTTTACAAAGTTGACATTACCCTGATACTCAAATTAGATAAGGATGCAATGAAAAAATGGAATTACAGACCAATCTCTTTAATGATGATAGGGGCATTTTTTCAATAGAATGCTTGCAAATCAAATTCAAGAACACATCAAAGAAGGCATTCATCATGATCAGAACTACTTCATTTCAGAGATGTAGGGGTGGTTCATTGTATGAAAATCAATAAATGTAATATGTTATATAGTTGGACTCAAGGACAGGAACCATGTGATCATCTCAATAGATGTGGAAAACACCCATGACAAAATCCAACTTCCCTTCATGATTAAAAACTCTGAGGAGACTAGGAATGGAGGGAACATAGCTCAACAGAAAGCCTATATGACAAGCCTCCAGACAATATCACATGAAATAGAGGAGGACAGTCAGGACATTTTGGTTAAGATAAGGAATAAGACAAGTATGTCCATTCTCTCCATCCCTATTCATGATAGTACTCGAAGTCTTAGATCAAGTAAGAGACAAGAGAGGTAAATTAAAAGGATTATATGATTATATACATTAGAGCTTCCAAAAGACTCCACCAGAACATTCTTAGAGCTGAGAAACACTTTCATCAAAATGACACAATATAAAATTAGTATGCAAAAAAATCAATAGCCTCTCTATGTAGCAATGACAGACATACTAAGAAATGAATGAGGAAAACAATTTCAATTACAATAGCTTTAAAAATACTTTGGAATAAACCTAATCAGGGAAGCAAAATACCTATACAATAAAAACTTTAAAACATCAAAGAAGGTACTAGAAGATGGAAAGTCTTCTTATGGTAATGGATTTGAAGAATTACTACTGTGAAGGCAGTTGTCTTACCAAAAGCAATTTACAGATTTAAAGCATTGCCCATCAAAATTCCAACACCATTCTTCCAACTCTTAAAATTCATATGGAGGCACAAAGACCTAAGATAGCTAAAGCAAACTTGAACAATTGAGTAATATTGAAAGCATCATAATACCAGATTTCAAGTTACACTACAGAGACACAGTAATGAAAATAACATGACATTGGCACAACAGGCACATAGGTCAGTGGAGTAGAACAGAGGACTAGATACAAGCTCACACTGCTACAATCACTTGATATTTTACAAAGATGCCTAAAATACACATTGGGTAAAAATGGTGCTGGTCAGACTGGATAGCTACATATAGAGGAATGAAACTAGATCCTTACCTTTCATTCTTTACGAAACTCAATCCTGGTTGGGCATGGTGGTGCATTCCTTGAATCCCAGCAGAAAGGCAGAGGTAGGAGGATTTCTGTGAGTTTGAGGTCAGCCTGATCTACACAGTGGATTTCAGGACAGCAAGTTCTACATAGAGAGATCCTGTCTCAGAAACAAACAAACAAACTAAACTAAACTAAACTAAACTAAAACTAAAATAAATAGCAGCAGCAGCAGCAGCAACAGACATTTAACTCCAAGTGAATCAAAGATCTAACATCCGACTTGAAATGCTGAAAGTGCTATAGAAAAAAAGTAAGGACAACCCTTTAAGACAAGGGCATAGTGTAGGTAGAGTTTCTCTGTGTCTTGGCAGCCTCTCCCAAATAACTATCCAGAGACTTATTATTTATTATAAATGCTTGGCTGATAGCTCAGGCTTGATACTAGCTAACTCTTACATTTTAAATTAACCCATATTTCTTATCCACCCTCTGCCATGTGCTGTACCTTCTTTTAATGTGGCATGTTCATCTTGTTTCTCTCTGCATTTCTTGAGACTCCTTAGACTCCACCCTTCTTTTTCCCAGAATCCTCTTTTTCTTTCTTTCTTTCTTTCTTTCTTTCTTTCTTTCTTTCTTTCTTTCTTTCTTTCTTTCTTTCTTTCTTTTTTCTTCTGGAGCTGGGTATCGAACCCAGGGCCTTGTGTTTGCTAGGCAAGTGCTCTACCACTGAGCTAAATCCTCAGCCCCCAGAATTCTCTTAGTCTGGTTCTCCCACCTAACCTTATCCTGTCTAGCTATAGGCCAGTCAGCTTATTTATTAAACCAATCACAGTAATATATATTCACACAGTGTAAAGGGATATTCCACATTTCCCCTTTTTGTCTAAATAAAAAAAGGTTTTAACTTTGTCATAGTAAAATGATATACAACAAGAAGTTATCAAGTAAGAACTATATTTACAATATTTTGCTGGTGGAATGATTAGAAGTATTAGGGTCAAAACAACCTCAATCTATTCTCAAACTTTAAATGGGTAAGAAGCCTGGCTAGCTCAGTCGATAGAATGTGAGACTCTTAATCTCAGGGTCATGGGTTCAAGGCCCACATTGGACACCATTTGTAGGGAGATTTTTCTGTCCCTCCTGCCAGCTCCCAAATCATGATATGAAGACTTATTATTAATTATTAAAGCTCAAATTATAGCTTAGGCTTGATTCTAAGTAGCTCTTATAACTTAAATTAATCCATTTCTATTAGTTTACTTTCTGCCTCGTGGCTTTATTACCTGTACTCTGCCCATGTTGCTTTCTTGCCTCCTCTGTGTCTGGCTGGCAACTCCTTGGGACTCTGCCCTTTTTATTCCCAGTGTCCTCTCTGCCCCAAATATCCTGTCTAGCTATTGGCTATTCAGTTTTTTATTAAACCAATCTGAGTGACAAATATTCACAGTATAAAAAAAGATTATTCCACAAGAGCATAAATAAGGCCTTTCTGAGTAAGAACTCTAGTCACTTAGAAAATAAGGCTAATAACCAGCAATTGCAATTTATGAGATTAAAAAGATCCTTACAGAAAAGAAAATGGTTAGTTAAGTGAAGAGACAGCCTATGGAACAGGAGAAATCTTCATATATATATGGACAGCTACATATCTGACCAAAGATTTTTACAGAGTATACAGAGGCCCTCCCCCCCCCCAAAAGTCCTATCAACAGGGAAACAGCAATACAGTGTTAAAAACAGACCACAGATGGGCTGGGGAGATGGCTCAGAGGTTAAGAGCACTGACTGCTCTTCCAGAGGTCCTGAGTTCAATTCCCAGCAACCACATGGTGGCTCACAACCACCTATAGTGAGATCTGTTGCCCTCTTCTGGCATGCAGGGACACATGCAAGCAGAACACTGTATAAATAATAAATAAATAAATCTTAGAAAATAGACTAAAGAATTTAACAGAGTATTCACAAAAGAAGAAACATAAATAACAAATAAACAATTTAAAAATATGCGACATCTTTAGCCATTTAGGAAAAGTGAATGGAAACTACATTGAGGTGTCATCTTACCCCAGTAAAGAAGGCTGTCATTGGGAAAACAAATGGCAGCAAGTGCTGGCAATGGTGTGCAGAAAGGGGAACCCTTATGCACTGTTGGTGGAACTATAGATTTGTACGGCTACTATGGAAAGCAGTGTAGGCTTCTGAAAACCCTAAACGTACAACTTCCATATGACCTTGCTAAACCATGTGCCCAGAGGACTTTATCCTACCAGGGAGCTATTGCACATCCATGTTCACTGTTGCTCTGGTCACAATAGCAAGGAAATGGAATTAGCCTAGACGTCCATCAACCGATGTCTGGTCACAATAGCAAGGAAATGGAATTAGCCTAGACGTCCATCAACCGACGAGCGGATAATGAACATGTGGTGCTTATGAACTATTCAGCCATAAAGAAAGATGAAATTTTTAGGAAAATCGATGGGATTGGAAAATGTATTAATGGAGGTAGCTCAGGTTCAGAAAGGTTTAAGTAAGACAGGAGGTTGAGGGAAAGGGGGGAGGGTCAACCAAAACTAATAATGTGTGTTAAAGCCATAAGGACATCTGATACTTGATAATCTAATAAAAAATAAAGTACAAAACTGTTTCAAGAAATATCTCATATGGGTGGGTGAATTTTCTTTTTTTTCAGAAGCTGTGGATTTTAAATGAAGATTCCAGTGTTAGAGGTAGGCTACCTTTATATGGGTTGTTGGTCAAGAAGGAAGACCTCAATATAATACAGGCAATTCCCACTGCCATTGGTTGTTCACCAGAAGAGTCCACACAAGTTGGTTGCAAGACATAGAGAAATTCAGCTGGAACTTGGATGGAAGCTTCCTCTTTGCCAGCTAGCCCTCTGTGTTGGTCAGGTGTTTGTTTGTTTGTTTGTTTGTTTGTTTTTTTCCAACTTGCTATATAGTCATCTGGGTAGCGGGAACCTCAATTGAGAAAATTCCTCTATCAGATTAGCCTGTAAATCAGTCTATGGAGCTTTTTTTTTTTTTGACTAATGATTGACATGAGAGAGCACAGCCCACTGTGGGTGGTGCTACTGGTTGTAGTCCTGGGTTATATAAGAAAGTAAACTGAGCATTGCTATGAGCAGCAAGCCAGTAAGCAGTGTTTCTCTATGGTCTCTGCTTCAATTCATGCCTCCAGGTTCATCTTGAGTTCTTGTCCTGGCTTCCCTCAGTGATGGATTACGATCCTGGGGTTGTAAGATGAAACGAACCCCTTCCTCCTCAAGTTGCTTTTGGTCTCTGTGTTTATTACAGCAATAGAAAGAAAACAAGAGTACGCTTATAGGGCCAGAAGCTGTTATGCAGGCTACTGGGGAAGTATGGTCATCATAGTCTTACCTGTGGACCTCACATACAATAATACTGTCTGGTCAGTCAAGAAGGGCTCATTGGTGCAATAGTGGCAAATCTGCTGGGAGGTGGGAGTGTCACCAACCACTTCCTGGTTAGAGTTGATACTTGGTCCACAAGAGGGAATTCATGTCTGGTCCTATAAAACTAGCCAAAAGTCCATGGCTGGAGAGGTCATAGGTCCTAGTGGAGAAGATAGTTTGTTGTTTTGCAAAATGGACCTGATATAGTTATCCAACTGCCTTCTAAATAACTATGTTTATGCTTATAGAATACTGTCACTTTAGTCAGAGAAGCTCCCTTGTTGTGATGGTCATCAGTGACTACAGAAGCTCTGAAGTGGTCCAAGTACTGAGGATAAATGACTATTGAATGCCCAGTTGTTGATGGGCATTGATCACCCTTTCAAAGCTAACGGAACATCCTAAGAGAAAGGGTGGAAAGGATAAGAACCATAGGAAGGCAGGAATGACATGGGGTGCTGTAGTTGGAATTTTCTTTGGGCTACCAACGAGCTCCCAAATAAAGACACAGAGACTTATTATTCATTATGAATGCTTGGCCTTAGCTTAGGCTTGTTCCATTAGCTCTTTTAACTTAATTTAACCTGTTTCTATTTATCTACATTTTGCCTCAGGGCTTTTTACCTTTCTCTCATTCTGTATGTCCTACTTCCCTGCTTCCTCCATGTCTGTCTGTCCGGCCCCTGGCATCTTCCTGGTATCTCTTTCTCTTTCTTCCCCTGAACCTAAATTACTAAATTACTCCTCCTACTTACTCTCCCTTCCCAGAAGTCCCACCTATTCTTCCTCCCTCACTTTTGGCCATTCAGCTTTTTATTAGACCAATCACGTGCCTTAGGCCAGCAAGGTAAGACAGCAACACATCTTTACATAGTTAAACAAATAATCTGCAGCATAAACAAATGCAACACATCTTTACACAGGCAAACAAATGCACCACATCTTTGCATGGTTAAACAAATATTCTGCAACAAGGTGCAGACTTCTGGGCATGAGTTGGTTATTACATTCTTGAACTCATAGCATCTGTGATATCTTCACAATATCTCCACAAAATTGGGCCCATCAATACCTGCCCTGTCACAGAACAGGAGTGAGATCTTAGATTTCAGCCTCTCTTGCAGTGTTATATTAATGATCTCGGGGAAGGAGACATTGTCTTCAGGAGCCCCTGGAAAGGTGTTCATGTTCTGGAACACAACCCCTCACCCATGGTCCTGTAAGCAACTCTCATGATTCCCACTGGATCACACACACAATAAAAAATGTCAAAGTGGAAGTGGGGAGCTAGCTGAGGTGAGAAAGGGGACTAGTGGAAGTAGAAGGGGACACGAGAGGGTAGTGGAGAGGTATGTGAAGATACGACTGGAATACATCATGTACATACACTATAAGTCAATAATGAAAGCCATTATTATGTATAATCAGTATACTCCAATAAAAGCAAATGATGATGCATTTGCTTGCACTCCCCTTCGAGACTGTACCCTGGATTTGAATCCTTCCTATTGCCTTGATCTGTCAGTATGTGTATGTGTATGTGCAGTGACGTAGGGGACAATGGGATTTGACCAGTAGTCTGGGATGATTGGGACAGAAGCAAGACTGTTTAAAGGCTTTAGATACAGAGGCAAACACTTTGGCTTTGGAGTTTACACACCGGGGCCAGGAAATTTTTTTTTTTTTAACCCTAGGGTTTTGGTTTGCCCAAGTCTTAAAATGTTTTACAAGTCAGCACTCCTGGCATCTCTTTAGGAGAGAGACAGAGCATCATAGGATCAGGAACTTGTGGTTTAGCATCAGGTTAGAGCTGGCTGGTGGGAGCTGCCTGCTTTGCCCCTTTCTTATTGGGTACCCCATTCAGTCTGCCCCTTTCATGCCACAAGAGGCATCAGGTTTAAACAGCAGAAGGTCTCCTCTTTTGTGCTCTCCTCCCCTCCTCCCTTCCCTTCTTCTCCTTTTCCCCGCCCCCCTTGTGCTCCTTTTCTGTCCTTCCAAACTCAGGGCTTTGTATCTTGCTAGGCTAGTGCTCTACCACTGGACAAAATCCTCGGGCTTTGTACATTTCCTAAGACAACTTTACTCTACCTGCAGTTAGTCCCAGGCAATTTAAAAATGGTTTTCTTTTGGCCACGTAGAGAAGTAGAGATGTTACTTCCCCCAATCCCTGCTCCCCTTATGCCCCTTAGAGATAGGGATACTTGTGGGGTGAGGGGAGCCTCAGATCACCTCCAAGGATTAAGCTTCATGTAGACCTTTCAAGCTTCGCTCATGTTCATTTGCCACAAACTCAACACAGTCTCCCCAGAAAA